TAGGGACCCCCTCCTTGCAAGGAATCTGTTCATTTTGTTTCTTGCAACCCATAATCCTCCCTAAGATAAAAAGCAATTCAAGCCTTTCTTCCACAATGTACATTTTTAAAATGCAGATGACAAGCATTTGTGCAATTGACCTCACAATTAGCTTGACTCACAAACTTAGGCTGCATAGTAAAACCCACAAGTGTGCAAACTCACACTGACATACTTACTTTCAAGACAACCATTGCATGGTTATAATTTTCAAAGTTCTATCTTTGGAGAGAGGGGCTAGGAAGACACACGTGTCTGACCGGTGGCCAACTGGCTTTCCTGCTCCAGAGGGGCCCAACCAAATCAGTTTCAGAAGCTTCCGGCTGCCTGCCTGCCGCAGGCGTTCCTTGAGCAAAGCTTCCCTCTAGTGGCCCATTGAGGCAGCCAACGCTTGATGAGCAAAGCAGGAGCAGCCTGGGGTCATTCACGCGCACCCCCTGCCTGCCATTCTCTCTCCAGCGTGAGCAATGGAGGAGCAGTATGCTGCCATAAGGAATTTTCTTGAAGGTGAAAGAAAAAAGTGCAAAAGTTGGTCTGCTGCTCAACAGTTTAAAAAGTAAGATTACGTCAACAGGGAATGCCAACCTAGTGCAAACAGGGAAGCTGCAGCCTTTATTTTCCTAAAAACTGAGCTCTCTGGCTAGAAAGTCCAGCTCTCAGTTTTTAGGGCTTCCAGGATGGCAAGCTGTGTTTGGGCAGCTATGGGGGGCCTTGACCTGTTCCAGCTGAGAACATCCCCAAAGGAGTTGGGGCTCATAGGGGTTAGACCCCTGGGATTGCACTCCCATACAGCTTCCTGCTCTGCTGCTGCTGGATTAGCTGATCCGGGGTAACCCTAACTCTTCCTCTCCGAGGCTGCCCACGTGCCCGAGTGCTGTGAACAGGAGCCCACGTCTGGTGGCCATTTCACCTGTGGAAAAAAGATGCTGTGCTTTCACGCCCACGTTTTCCAAAGATTTCACTGAAATCAACTAGGATGTGAAATGCATGCAGTGGATCAGAGGCCACGGGAAAGGGGGGGGGTGTTCTCTACTGCAGCACTCCCGCCTAGCTGGGGCCCTCTCGATTTATCCCAGCAGGAGGCCCAAAGTTCTTGAGTGCAAAGCCCCGGGAAGCTGAGCTAACAGAGATGGCCGTGGTTGAAACTTGGCAGAAGGCGGTTTCCGAGAGCCCTATCAGCTGTGGCAGCGAGAATTGGTATCCCCGAGTCCTCTTTTTCTTCTCGCATCAGTAAAGGAGGACCTGGGCTCTCCAGAAACTGTCCGGTGTGTTACAGCTACAAAGAGGAGCATCGATCCATTTGCAAGATGCCAGCTCTTCACTTCATATTAACTTCAGCCGTAGTCTTGGCATTTTTCTCAGTGGCCTTTCTAGGCTGAGATGACCCCTCACTCACCTCCCCCTTTCCGGGCATTCCACTTTCCCACCCACCATCTCCGGAGAATGCTGGGAACCCGCTGAAGCCACTGCTGGGTATTCCGTTCCTAATTCAATATCAGGCTTTCTCTGGTCCGCC